TCAGCAAGGAAAAATACAGACACACACATCTTTACATTTCAATATTTTAACATTGACTCTATATCCCATTAAAATCCTAACAAATACAACCATCTTTTGAGCATCTGGAGAGTCATTTCTATTTTCTTCTGTGAATTCCATTGGATGCTTCCCAGTTTCTGTTTCTTCCACTGCACAACAAAACGATAAGAAAATGTGCTGACAGATATGCAGTCAGTTGTGTAATGGTGGTATTCATAGGTGGGTAGCATAGTAACTCTACAGATATTTACATAATGCAGTAGGCTCTTGGCCCTATGTGTTCTAGACATGCTTTGGAAACTTTAAAAAAAAAAGAATGGAAAGAGGGAGGGAAATCCATGAAACAGCAGAAGTGTTGCTATTGGCATGAGGCAGCTTTCGGATTTTCCGAAAGTAAAAAGAAACAGTTTCTGACTACTTTCCGTTCTGATTAACCCCATTTTAATAGAGACGTTGTCACTATTAAATTTTTCTAATTTAAAACCCCATTTCTGCATGGAATTTCTCCCCTGTGATAAATTCCATAGTCTGAATACAGTCACAGACATGGGCCTTCTTCAAGAGTCTGCCAAACTCACATTATTCAGATCTTGGCAGGACAAAACAGAGACATGCCTGGATCCCCTGAAAATGGTCTACATTAACCCCCTGACATGCACACACACACATGATCATGCATAATTCTTATATTTAAAATTACCAACTGGACAAGATCCAAGTTACTGAAAGAAGGAACACCAAAGAGGCAGGTGGCATCCAAGAAACAGTACAGTATTAATGACCAATAGTAGGTGCTGCGTCTAAAGGATAAAAAATGGATGATGCTGATGTTGTAGGACTCCAATATCAGGCTTAGCCAATATGGCCAATGGATGATGGGAATTGTAGCATAACTGTTCTCAAGGGCCCTCATCCCTGCGGTAGACATTCAGCTTGGTTAAAACATAAAGCTACCCATATACCTCTGTCTTCCTCGCCTTTAAAAATACCAATAACATTGTTAATGGAACCCTTAACAGTAGATGAGCTCAACCTGCCAGCATTTTAAAATCCATTTATAACATTGATATACTTGCTTATTATCAAAGCAGTCAATGTGGGTGATAATTTAAAATGATGTTATGTCATCCAATCTACGTTGAACAAATGGAAAAGAGAACAGGAAGGATGTGTAAAAAAAAAAAAAAAAGCAAAATCAGGTACCAGTTCTTACAGAGCTTTGCATAATTGTTAAGCAATCAGGTGGAATGATCACTGCAGAAGATGGTTTTGGAGAAAAGGAGAGCTTTACTGTTCCTCCCCCCCCCCATCCCCTATACTAGTCCTTCTACTAAGCTTGGGGTGGGAATTGTGTGGCCCTCCACACATTGTTGGACTCCAACTCCAAGCATTGGCTGTGCTGGCTGGGGTTGCTAGGAGCTCTCCAGTAGTCCAATAACATTTGGAGAGCCATATGCTTCCCACCCCCATACAAAGACCATAGCTCTTTGTAGCTTATTCATCATTGTCATTATTAGAAGGGAGAGCAAATGAAAGCCATTTAGTGAAGTAGCCTGTTGAGAAATTTAAACCCAAGAGGCAGATAAGGAGGTTTAACCATAAGTGCCAGGAAAAAAAGGGGGTGAGTGGGAATGAAAAGTCTGTATTGTTTGACTGACTTCCAGAATGTTAGTTTTGGCTTAATATCAGCTGCTGTTTTAGCTGAGCAAAGAAAGGTCCAGCGGGACAAAGTTCTGGAAGATGACTAATCTTGACTGAGAGACTTTTTGCACTGCTGTCTGGGCAGCTTCAGAGCATGGCATTTTGACAATGCATGTTCTGAAGCCACCTGGAAACCAGCTTCAAGCCACCTGGCTACTCAGATGTGGGCCGGCTTCTGGACGCTCAGGTGGTAGAGCATCTTAAAGCCGGCTTCTGGCCATGGTGGGGCAGAAAAAGCCAGCTTTTTGTTGGCTGAAAAGGAGTGCCTCTTTGCCACTTCTTTTTCAGCCAGGTTGAAGGTGGAATGGGGTTGTGGCATGTAGGTGCTGCAGCCCAATCCATCTTCAGAAGTGGGGGGAGAAGCTGCTGGTGTTGATTTGTCAGTGGGTGCTTTATATGTTGTTGTGATCCTTCAAGTCATTTCTGATTTATAATGACCCTAAGGTGAACCTATCACAGGTGGTGGTGATGGTTCTTTGCAAGATTTGTTTAAAGGGGTTTGCCTTTGTCTTTGCCATCCTCTGATGGTGAGAGTGTGACAACACTACTCAATGGGTGTCTGTGGTCTCCAACCCTGGTCTCCAGAGCCATAGTCCAATGCTCAAGCCACTACACCACACTGATTCTCAATACCATGTACATTTGGAAAATCCAAATCTTCTTCCCAAATGCAAATGCAGAGAGCCAGTATGACATAATGGTTAGAGTGCTGGACTACAAGTCTGGAGACTAGGGTTCAATTTCCCACGCTGCGCCAACAGGGGGCGCCCTGACTCCATGCGTCATGTGGTTGGGTGCACAGTGCAACATCGGCATTGGGGTGGAGTCGGGATGGCCGGCATGAAGTCACCCCATCCCGACTCCACCCCCAGGCCAGCCCTTTAGGCCGGTCTGCATCGGCCCTTAATCTCTTGATGTAGCTTTGTAGTAGTAGTAATTGTTAACTGCCTTTAAGTCACCCCTAACTCATGGTGACCCTGTTGATGGGACAACTCCAAGCCTCCCATCTTCTATTACTCTGTTTAGGTCCTACAAATTCAGATCTGTGACCTCTCTAACAGTGGTGTTTCCATTTCCAGCACCAGGACTTCCAGTGTAGTTTCTAGGGCAGATGAGTGCATGGGAGTGCCCATGGGTGTTGGAGGGGCACTTGCACAGGCCAGAATGGGACCTTCATGGGCTGAAGCGGCACCTGCCTGGCCCTGAGCAGTACTTGTGTGGCTCCAAAGATCACCCACACAGCAAAGCAACACCCACACAGCCGATGCAGTACCTGTGGGGGGTGGGGAACCGACTGGGTGTCAATCCTATTCTTCTGTGGTGTCACCCTGCATGGTCAGAACCACTCACACCCTGCCAATGACACTACTGCTCTCTAATAGAGTCTATACATGTAGTGTGCAGTCTTTCTCTCTTTCTACCTCCCTCCAGCTTTCTTAGCATTATTGTCTTTTCTAGTGAGTCATACCTTCTGATGATGTGGCCAAAGTATGAAACCCTCCATTTGATCATCCTGGCTTCTAGAGAGATTTCAGGCTTGATCTGTTTAAGGACCCATTTGTTGTCTTTTTGGCTGTCCACAGTATCAACAGCACTCTTCTCCAGCACTACATTTCAAATAAATTTGATGTAATATACACTCCCCCCCAACCCCCCCTTCTTTTTAAATCCTGACACTTTCCTCCCAACAGAGGAATTTCCAAGATGCTAGTCAGTGAGCAATGACACATCTAGCCCTCTCCTGATAGTGGGATGTGGGGGTGGGACATATGACCTATGTAATAGATAAATTGCATCTCCTGGAAGCTTCCAAGAGCAGCAATTCACCCTTTCCTTTTTGGCCAGTAGAACAACCTTGAGAAGGGACCCTATGTGACCCCAGGGCTGCACTTCACCTAGCCTGTTCCAGAAGCAGCAAAGAATGCAAGATTGTGACTAATTCACACCTTGCTCCCCCCAGGTTTGCAAGATATGAAGCAATTCTAAGAATCCACTTGAACTTGTACTGACACAATTGCCCAGGTCCTTATAAGAAAGGGCTTTAATTCAGTGCTTATCATTTATCTTCTCTGTATATTTGTTTTTCCTGATCTGTGGTCTGATATTCTCATTCCCCTTGGCTGCAATGCTCTTTTATCTTTTAACAAGCAGATATATTCTCTTCTCTTGTGAGTGGGTGAGAAAAGCCTGAAGTGAAGCAACGCTGTTCATCTATCTATGCTTTTATGTAGTGCCAATTCTGCGGAGCTGAGAGGAAGCCAAAGATGTCTGACACTGCCACAAAGATTTGCAAGATGATCTCATCATATTCTAAGAGGTTCAGTAATAATAAATAAATGTTTATTTCCAAGACATAATGTGCCCACAGGCACGCCTTGTTTATAAATCTCCTTGCTGAGAGTAATCTCTCACACCATTTTTTGCATTAAATTTATACTTCAAAAGAGAGGGGGAAAATTGTCATAATAAAATCTTCCATCTGGTAAGAGAGTCCATTATTTTTTCCCCCAGGTCACCTAAAAGGTGTGACATGAGATTATATACTTATACCAGCTGTGTGCTTTGAATTGTTGGTATTGTAAATCTGAATTGGGCAATGGGAGAATGTTTTAATTATAGTAAAAGTACAGTATAGGAGCAGTTTGTTCACTTATGGGAACCTCACAAAATTCAAGAACTATGATAGATACAATGATGAAATAAATATACAACATGGTTACATATATTGTTTCCTCAGCTGCAATCCACAAGTGTTGTGGAAATCTCCCCTAGTTTGCATTTGAGCTTGAAGGTTTCTCCCCACTCTTTCTCTGGAAGACCAGGCAAGAGGTTGTGTAGCATGGGATTCCATCCAAAAACAACAGTTCGCTCAGTCAGTGGGTAGATTTTGCTCACAGTTATGGTTTGACTGATCTCCATATTTAGAAGCAGGGGGGAAAAAAGCTTATTGCCTGGTCAGATTAGCTAGCAAACCTGGGGACTTTTGCCTTTACCCCACTGCACATTTAAATTTCTTACACATTTTGCCATACAAGTGTTGCCATACAAGTACCATAGTTTCTACCCTCCAACGTGATGCATTGATATAATGATATGATATAAGCATTTACTAACACACTTGGAACTAAACTGCAAAATCCTCTTATACAGTATTTACTTTTTATAATGCTATCCCCCTTTCTGCTAGAGAATGGTGTAATTATTTTTTAATATTTCCTTTAACTTTTGTATGGAGTGTCACTTTAATAGTTCTGTTCACATCTTTGTACTCTCTCTCTCTCTTTTATATTCTCAGCCATTATGCTCCATTTTCTGAGCCAATCTTTTTCTTTCGGTTACCCCATGTAAGTCTTTCTTTTTTTCCTGCTAAATAGCCAAACAGCATATATTCTTATATGGTCTCATCTGCACTGTAAAAATAATGCAATTTAAACATCACTTTAACTGCCATGGCTCAATTTTATGGAATGCTGGGATGTATAGTTTGTTATGGCACCAGAGCTCTTTGACAAAGAAGGCTACGTATCTCACAAAACTACAAATCCCAGAATTCCACAGCATTCTAAATCTAAATCTTAGAATTGATAAGAGAGTGATACAAAACTTGAAAAATTCTGTTCAAGATGCCTCAAAAATCCTCTACATAATTTCAAAAGTTTGATACCATTTTCAACTGCCATGGTTCCATCCTGGGATTTGTGGCTTAGTGGTGAAACTCTTGGTGGCTTCTCTGCACTGCAGCACTAGTGCTCTTTGGTCAAGAATGACAGATCCCAAGAATGCAAAATAAAAATAACAGAAATACGGGTTTTAAAAGAATTACAAAACACTGTAGTGTCAAAAAGGGGGGTGGATTGCATATAGGATTAAGATATAATGTAGTATAAAAACATGTATAAAACTAGTACAGATAGAAATATTGGTAGGAAAGATACAAATAGTGAACTCCAAATATTTGTCTGTTTCAAGAAACACACTGCAGAGAAACCCACCTTTTCATTTGAACCAGTCAGAGCTAACAAATTTAAAGAGAACACTCAGTAAAGGGGGAAGCACATGAGTGCTCCCAGGACGCCGCCAGATGGAGTGCCGCAGGACCGCAGCCTCCTCACGACGGCACTCCTGCGGCGTCCCTAAAAGGAGTCCCAAATTGGCGCTCCTTTTAGAAGACAGGGAAAGTGCGCCCTAAACGCGTAGGGCGCACTTTCCCTGTCTTTTCTGCCGCAGCGTGTGAGGACGCTGCGGCGGGAGGTTGCCCCCGGAGCGCCGGCTGTGCAGAGGGCTGGCAGCTCCGAGGGCAACCTCAGGAGGAGGAAGGGGCGCCACTCGTGCGGCTGCCCCTCCTCTTCTCTGCCTCCAAGACGACTCTTTTAGTTGTCTGCCAAGGCCCTAAGCCTCTCTCTTTAATATAGAACTTTATCTATATTTACAGTGTTGAACTTATTCTGGTACAACAAAATTTTAAATCCACAAACAGTGATACTTTTATTGACCAACCAAAATGCACAAACTATATTATGCAAGCTTTCAAAGCTTCACTGGCTTCTTCATCAGGCAAAGATATTAAAAATCATAAAGGAGAAGAAAAAAGCTAATGTTAAAGTTAGCAGCTAACATTTTGTCTCCGATGTTACTTCTGTTGTGTCTGGAGGGACATCAATACAGGAAGAGGCCAATCCCTTTCTTGACTATGTAATCATTCTATGACAAATAAAGAAAAAATCTCCCATGTATGTTTTTCTCACTCACAATAGCATGAGATACTAATTAATTCCTAACTTTGCTATGATGTTCTGAAATCCTAATCTTCAATTATCGGGATGTCTTTTCTACATATAAACATTTTAAATACAAATAATCACATAGATGACAGTTACAGTTAGATGTTTCAGTTTGAAAGTCTCCCATCTTCTCTATTGTGGACAATAAAAAAAAATGCCCATGTTTATAATGCCCCCTGATCCTCATATTCTCCAGCATCATATGAGTGAACTAAAAGATCTCTGAAGGATGTAGTGCTACAAAAACTCACAACAGGTGACCAAGAACAACCAGACACATCACTGACTATGTGCCAATGTCTGGCAACAATCTTTCTAATAGAATATATTAATGAAAAAAATCCATTGGAAAAAATGATGTGAAGAATGGTAATGATGTTAAATAAATGTATTAGTGAAAAATCTTATCAGCCTTACTTTTAGCCATTTTAATGACTTAAAATGTGTACTTCTTCTGGTCAAATGAGCACAAGACATAGCACACAATATAGAATTCCAGCAATGGGAGGAAATATGGAATAACAAAATAAAATATACTTTGTGCCAGGATTTAAGAGAAAATAACTATAAGATGATGCATCTGTCACCACAAAAAATTGCCCAAATATACAAAAATAACAAAACCAACTGTTGGAAATGTTCATATATTACAGGTTTGTACTACCACTTAAAAAAGAAAAAAAGAAAAAAAAAGAAATTTGGTTGGAAATTCATAAAATATTGATGATAGAACTCAAAATTGAAGTAGCTTTTGCACCAGAGGTTTTCTTGTTGGGAATAATCAAGAAAGAAACAGAAAAGAGATGTGGAAACTGATTTTCTACATGTTAACTTGTGCAAGGATAGTATATGTACAGATGTGGAAGAGGGAGGCAATACCAGTGATAATGCAATGGCTGATTAAAGTTTATGAAATGACAGAGTTATACAAAATTATTAGATAACAGATAGGACATCTGATATTAGGTAGAATGA